CAAAGAGGCACTTCCAAACGGTATGAATGGTTCAAAAGCAAAAATATTGTTTTCTATTATTAAACCAATTTTTCTTCGGCTTGGCAATTGTTGATAAAAAAAAACTCCAGGCCGCGGTGCGGATGAGATCTGTGTGGCAGCCGGCATGGATCCACTTCGTTATCAAATCGGCAAGACGAAAATCTTCTGTAAAATAGGAGTCGTTTCAGAGGTGCTGATTGACTTGACCCTCATCGACTTTTGTGGGGACCATTAATTTGTGTATTGATGTTCAGCTTGAAGCGAAGAGAAAAGAGCACATCAATGGCGGTCATCACCAATCTACAAGCGCGTATCCGCTGGATTCATATGCAGAGGGATTGTCGTATGAGGAAACAGCGATTGTGAGTCAGTTTCGTTTGTAATCACCAATGCAGGTCTCACAGGCAGTGAACACGGTGGATGGACGGTGGATTGGTTCAATGACGTCATCAGAAGTCATAGGTGGACCAGACCCTTCAGCGCGCAGTGGAACGGGGGCGTGCTTAGTACCACTTCCTGATGCATTTCTGCCCCCTCAGTCGTCGTGTTCACTGCCTTCAAGGCTATTATTTCCGAGCAGGTCTCAAATGTCTACTTCCAGAGCGGCTATATGTACAATACAGAACAATGTCCGTACATTTGCCGAACTTGCCGGTTGGCCATGGTATCGCATATTCAATCTTGTACGGCCCCTCATACCAAAGGTAGGTCCTTGCTTATTCATATCCTTGTGCTATTAGTAGTTCACTTAAGCATGATTTCGTTTTCTAAGAGTTAGGCTGAAATCACCTGTATCACCTGTCGTCCCGTTGATCATCGAATTGCTCGAGCGGGCGCCAGCAACGTCTCCATTCGTCCCTGTCGCGTGCTAGAGTGGTCCAGTGGATCCTCCTCGCTCGAGGGACACGAAGTCCTTCATTCCTTTCGTTCAGAGCTTTCGTGAAGAAGTCTGACCATCGGGCCGGCGGTCGTCCAGGTGTTCGTTTGACGTCCCGAGGGATCCAGTCGGTAACCGCTCTGGTCCAACGGTCATTCGCATGACGTGTCCGGCCCAATACGGCAGCGTTGGGTAGGACCGCTCGGGAGAGGCTGCTAGGCTGAAATACTTCATTTTAAACTCTGAAATTCACTGTCTTAGAGTTCGACCCGCGTTCAATTTTCTTTTTGCAGTAATGAAATACATGCTTCTGTAGATGAATGGGATCGATTCGCTCAGGGGTCAGATTTCTCGATACTGCACTGACTACTCAAGAGCAATGTGCTGCATGGACGACGCGCAACCCTGTTAAAGATCACCTTGCTTGCCTAAAACTCTTACAAATGATACAAATGGACTGTCAAGTGGCATGTTGGACTTGCATAGTGCTTGCGACCACACTTTCACCTGTAATGTTGCACATGGCGTCTTCGATCCGCCCACTTTGTTTAATTTACTCCGCGACGGCTAAGACTTTTTTAATTCACAGTATGCTTGGCGTGAACAATTTTCATTCAGTTCTCGGACCCGAGGCAGGCGTAGAAAAACTTTATTCTCCTCACTTAGCAGAGGAAATAGCTAGTTAGTTAAGTAATTCTAATTCAAATCAAATGCCCTAGGTTGTGATTGGAGTGCAAATCTCAATCTGAAAAAAACCTCATACCGGATTTCCACATCACCGATATCATGAGAATTTCTCACGGAACCATGGTGCAGCGGTTTAGACTCTGCGAGGCTCACGGTGAAGCATGAACTATTAACGAGTTTCTCTGAATTGATAGTCGGAGGAGGTCTTGCATTGTCAGAGCTATTGTCTCTAGGAGGCTGTTCTCCCTAGTCAATCTGAGGAGAGGAAAATGTGTAGCAGCATCAGGTTGGAACGGTCACGGTAGTCCTCCGTGAGGGAAAACAGATGAGTCACATTCTGAAGACGGTGAGGGTAGTGGAGCAGGGCTTGCCTCCGTTTATGCGATAACTTGGGGATCATTTCGCCCTGAAACCATCAACGGCGACGCCCCGGGACAAAAAATTTGTTGCTCTGGTCTGCATCGATGTATTCCCCACCACAGATTGCTCGCCCACCCCCACCACGCCCTTTTTGTGGCTCTGACAGCCTTTAAAAAGTAATCTTCATCCTTTCCTAATGGCAAGTTCTTCTTCGCACTTTTTGTTCATTGAGCGTGGATCCATACTTTCGGGGTGGGATGGTGGATTGATGTTATCTAATAAGACGGGTGTACTTCAACAGTGGTAATTGCGTGGCAAATGTTTACACCAAAACAGAACCTGAAATCTGTTGAAATTCCTGTACGTTTTCCTCGAATTTCCATGGAATTTCCCAGCATTCTTCGGCAATGAAACATTAGGTAATTCAGAGGTCAAATGTTGGTCGAAGGTGGGACAATACAGGGTGGGGCAAAATCACTTGTGCACCTACTCAAAATGGATTTTTTTAGATCTTGTTGTGTGAAGTTTCTCCTCTGATTTCTTCATGATATGTAGCTTGAACACGCTGCTACTAATACGCCCTGATCTCAAAGTGGCGAGGCCTCACATTTTACGAACTGCACCAATCAACTTCCAACAGGAGGGCTTTAGCGCGAACCGCTGTCTGAAACATTTTTTTTCAAATTCTCAAATTTTGTTCAAACAGCGTTCAATTCGATTACTGCTTCTGGAATCACGGGCATTGTCTTTACAATGGAGAGGATACGGGCGAATTCACCAAAGGGTTTGCTTCAGGAAAACTGACCAGAATGATCCAAGAGCAGTGTGTCGAGCAAATCCTCAACGTCATAAGTTATGACGAATGGCGCCCCATTCCTTGGGAAAGACTGATATATTTACACGTATGGGCTACTCTAAAGGGAAAAGTCTTCTATATCAATCACTGGAATTTGAACCCTTTAAAACGGCATTCTTGGGATGCTTTGACAAAATTGATGAAATACGATGATGATCTACTACAATTGCGGCTTAATCCAATTCGTTTAGGAAAAGGGACAAAGAGCGAATTCAAGAACTGGAATTGGAAAACGAGAAGTTGCGCGCTGAGAACGAAGAGCTCCGTCATGAACTCCTCAAAAGTTCAGCGGTGAGTCGAATTCTCATTTCTTCAGGGATTTGATTTTCCTACTCACACGATCCATCGCAATCAATGTTCGTTTTTCCTAGAGTTGCGACGTTCTGGGGTCAAGTCGTAAGACGGCTGAGCAGCGCGAGGAAGCCGTCGATTACCACAAATTGTTAAGCCGATTTCATGGCAGCGCGGTGTCGGTCCGAGCTTCATGGGAAGCCCAGACGCGCCGCGGGCACGGCCGCTACTCCAGCCACCGGGCATGAGTCACGGAAACTCCCGCTGCGGATATACTAGACACTGTTGACAACTGCCAATGCCACCTTTGAGTGGAGGTAGCATGCATGGCGCGTCCCTATAAGTATGTACTTGACCTGTGCCGAGAGTATCATCACTTTCCTTCCATTCGCGAAGCTATGCCAACCTAGTACTTTTTAGGAAGTCGCCGAAAAGAACAAAGAAATACAAAAAGTCCGTCAGGAGATGCAACAAAATGAGGACGTATTCGACTTGTTGGAGAAGAAGTACAATGATCAACATCATAAGGTTATGGTAAGTGTGAATCGTTTGTTTCGGATCACTTTCTCTATTGACTATAGCGAAGTGGCCATCTCAGGCATGGTATACAGTTGCTATGGCCGAAAATCATGAAGAGGCGAGGGGGGTTGGAAGTGGGAAGAGCGTAAAGGGGGGTCTTCATTTTTGTTATTTGTAATGGGGCCGCCACTTTGAAATCAGTTAGTTTTGCAGTTTACCTTGATCATAGTTTGGAGAGGTACTTTACACCGATCACTTAATCACAGCGCTCAAACTTGGCACAGATCAATGTCTGGTCTCCTAATATTAACATTTTTAAGAAAATGAACGAGTCACTGCGTGAGTATGAACGGAAACTGGATCAGGTTGACATGGAGAAAGGAGAACTAGAGAGAAAGATCTCAAAAAGGTAATTTTTTCAAATTGTCAGTTCAAATGTTATACTTCATCTGAAAAGCAGCCGTTTTTATTTTATCAACGACACCGACAGGGTTGGAAACTTCGGGTCTGTTCGATTTTCTGTGAATCGAAGAGGTTAGGCAGTTCAGAAAACTGGTTAGGCATAGGCATTAACATTTGATTGAACCAATTGAATGCAGAAACGTGATTAGACTCATTTAGTAGGACCCGCCGCGAGTAATGTGTTATGTTCCGTACCTACAGAGGTCTTCCTAACTTCAAGACCGCAGCGATTAGCGCCCTAATTGTCCGCAAAATGTGCGGGTAGGGCGCTAATGCCTACGTTTAAAGTCCTAACAACCATTGCAACCTCCCGCCCATCGCGGGTTGTTGTTAGGATCAGTAATGATAGGCCATGGTTACACGTAACGTGGATACGACGTAGCGGCTACTAGCACTTCAAGCTATGAAAAATATTGAAAAATAGGTTATGGAGCGGTCATTTTAAAGAAACTCGTACAAACACGCCATTCCCACATCCTGTAGTGAAGGTGTTGGTAAGTGAGAGGGGCTTTATTCAGGGCGTAATGGGCGGCTTCTTTCCTTTCTCTATCTCTTTTTAAATCACTCCCTACCCACAACTTCATTACCACGTGATCTCACTTACCCATTTACTGCGGGTCCTGTTTTTAAATCGACGTAGAAGGGAAATTTATGGTCAAAAGAGGAAAATTCTGCGTTCATGCTGTAAGACCATCGTTGGCATGATGGCAGTCATTCATTACTGCGTGAAATATGTGAAATAAATAATAAATAAGTAAAGCACAATAAATAAGTAATATTTATAAATATTACTGTGTGTATGAAAATTCGTTTGATTCGGTTGAAATATTCAGTTACGCGAGATAACTTCGAAAAAGAGAGATGCTTGTCGTGAACTCGAATGGATAGAGAGGCGAAAAGAACCGCGGATGTCCACGATAAGTGCTGAAACTGAATCCGCCTGACGAAGATGAGTGGATGAATTGGGAACAAGTGAAGGAGAAACTGTCAAGGTGTCTACAGCGAGGCCATCGATCTTTGGCGACTCATTAAATTCTTTTTCTAGATCTGAAGCGGAACTCGACGAGGAGAAATTTCGCACTCAACGACAAATGGACACCGTGGCGGACCTTCTGAGAACGGACTATCACTCAATGTGAACAATTACAGCTTTCAGAAACTGTGTTCAATCAACCGCCCTTCATAATGATTTCTGAAGATCTCAGGGAATAATTTGCATTAAAATTTAGGCTCGATTAGCAAGCCACGATTCAGTGCTGTTGGGGAAGAGAGAGGAATCTTCGTCGAAAAATTGGAACGAGATCACGACCGAACTAAAGACGACTATACCCATATACAAGCTTCTTTAGCGAAGCTTCAGCAAAAATATGATGTTCTGGTTAGTCGCAGCAATATGACTTGCATAGTTCAAGGCACTTGCTTCTATTTGCTTCAAAAGACCTTTATTTAAAGCAAACCTAGTCCAGATGGATTTTTGACTTCGAAATACTAACTGGGGTGTGGCAATGATGCGCTAGCCCTAGTACAAGAATATATAAAAAGTTATCACAGACGACAAAACGTCACTTTGAAAGCACGCTAAAGAAGTTAAAGCAACAGTTCAGGGAGGGTCCGAAAATTTCAATGCCACTACTACTGAGGGATACACGAGCCCTAGTGAAGAACATATGCAGTGGAAATAATAAACGAACTTACCTCAGAAACTCAAAAACAGGGTGGAAAGTCCCTCAAACATGGGTGTTCTTGGGGATTTCCCCAATCCCGCCCCCTTGCCGGCCGTCATTGGACGCGTCGGCAATCGTGCTCGTTTTGGGACCACAGGGAAAATTGATTGAAAAATGGAGCGCGTTTACAGCGGGCACGTTCAGACAACTCGTCCAACGTGCGTCTTTATCCATTGCTGAGCGGCAGAGGGAGAGTACCTGTCTAAGACCCTCCCCGACGTTTTTTTCCAGTTTTTCATACATTAATCGTCTGGTTTTCATCTACAACTTCATTATTGGTGGTTTTTTCCCGCGAAACCGTTCCTGAACTGTTGCTTTAATCTCCTTTCAAGTGGGCGATCCGGCACAATCTTCCTAAAGCCCACTCGCAGCCTTAGAGATCGCGCGCTTTTCTCCGAGTCCTCGAGCGATTACGTGTAAACTATCCCGCGTTTCGAAATTATGTTTCGCCTCTTTTGATTGGTTTTACCTGCTTAATTCATTTAGTTTGGTATTTCTTTGTTTGGAACGATGCATATATCCTGGTTTGTATTTGGTGCTAACTTAGTTAGGAAGGGGATCATGCGGCGGCGCGCGCTCTGTTCGTCTCCTCTAAGGCTTTAGTCCAAGGGGCAGTTACTATTTCGTCGCCACGTGCAGTTTCGAAATACGCGCCATCGGCGGACTAAGCCTTGGAGGAGCAGACGAACAGAGCGCCGCGCCGCCGCGTGGTCCCCCCCCCCCCAACTAAGTTAGCACCTGTATTGGTGCATGTGCGATTGCAGTCCGCACTTCTTGCTGGCACGAGCCAGCAATAAATGCCGGCGGAGCAAGCTAGTTCAGGACAGCTCGTCCGACACGCCCCTTCCTTCATTTCAAGGGAAGAGGGGAATCCCTGTTTGGAGGTTCATCGGCGGTTTTCTTTGCTTTTCCATTTGTAGTCAACTCGGCATCTAAAATTTCATTATCAACCGTTCTTGCCCCGCAAATTTGATCTGGAATTGTTGCTTCATGCTCGAGTCCTTGCAACACATTTACCTCTTCCTCTTCCATCACAATCAGCTGCCATGTTGCTCTTTGCAGAAAGAAGAATGTCGTCGCAAGGATCAGGAGATCAACCGTTTGGAGAAAAAGATCGAGGACAAGGATGTGGTTATGGCAGACTGTTTGCGTGAACTCAAAGAGCAGCATAAAACTCGTGTTACAGAGTTAGAGGAGCGTATCGCTGACATGAAGAGGAGAATTATGAAGTAAGCCCTTTTACAGCGATAAAGCACAATATTGAATTTGTAAAAGTACAGTACTCAAACCTTGCACGAATAAACTTATCCTGGAAATTAGTGCAAAATTGCGTAATTAGTGTTAGGAAAAGCCCTTCTGAAATTGAAAGAAGACAAGCAGTGAACAGGAGGTGAACAGAATCACTACGAAATCAATTGTCGTGTCGAAAGTTCATAGAACTGAATATTCTCCATAAAACGCTTTGAATTCTATGATTTCAACGTTGTTGATTTTAGACTTGAATCCGAAAACAACGTGCAGAAGTTGAAACTGGAAACATCACTTGAACGCGAGTCTTCGGTTGATTCAGATTACGGTAGGTGTAGACGTTTGTCATAGACTAACTTCCAACCGCGGAAGGTCATTAGGTCAATCCGGCCAATTGAAATGAGCTTTACCTTCCCAGTAGCACGTTTATCAGTGCTTCCCTACGCTTATTCCTACAAAGGTTTTGTTAAGAAGGAAAAGATGCTATGTCTCACCCCGCAGAAATGACCTGTATTACTTTTCGTTGCATAGGTGAGCATTCCGGATTTTTCGGAATGGGTACAAGAGGGCGGTAGCCATTACGGTAGGCCTCCTTGAGCTCGACGTTGATGGCAGATGACATCATCTTGGGGAGACGATGAGGGCAACAATGGAGTGCCTTATGGGAGGACTCTAAGAAATATTTTGCCGCAAACTTCTGTCAACAGCGGCATCCTCTTTTATGATGTGCGCCCTAGGCAAAGTAACCTCCCTCCCCCCGTACACTTATTTTGTATCTTTTTGTATCTGAATGGCATTGGGAACTGAATCGAAACTGGATCGGAAACTACTACCATCCGGATGTGCTTTTCCCCTTTTCCTATATATACTACGGCGTTTCAAAGTATGTGCACGCCTCAAATTCACGTTGAAGGGAACTCTACTGGAGTTTCGTGCCATAGAAATGCTCTCAATCGATTTACTCGGTAGTTAGAATAACCTGATTGAATGCGAAGGAACCTTATAGATAATGTCGCCTCACTTTCGCGAAAAAATTTTCGGATGAAATTTTTTTTCTTTGTTTCAAAAGTATGTGAAGAAAGATCAGATTTTGGCGCCGAATTTTCCACCGATTTCAATCCGACTTTGCTGTTTTCACTTCGTCATCATGTCAATTCGCGCCATACTTCTTCCTGAAGATGAGCAAGCTCAGATCAAGGTTCTGCATGGTAATGAACGTTCCAATCTAGAAATCGCACGATAACTTGGTCGTTCTTCCTTAATGCATTCGAGATTTATCTGGCACCCTGATAATTATACTCAGCACACACTCCGCTCCATCCACGATCCTTGACTGCTCAGAACAACAAAAGAGTAGCCCACATCCTGTCGGATTCTTCATCGACAGTCCGAGCTCAGATTTTTATTCCAGTCTCGAAAATGACCACTAAGCCCCTCATCCGCTCAAATGAATACACCACTCGACAGACGCTGAGAAAGGCTACTCACTTCAAGGCCCAGCACAAGTCAGCCACATTGGAGTCTGCTCGTACAGACATGGCAACATAGGATAGGACACCGGGCGAAGACACGGTTTTTCGAGAATTTCCTATTTTCAAAACAAGCAACTTTTTATGGACTTTTCTCTCAGGTAATCTTAACTCATGGAAAGAGTTCGATCTTGACGGGCCGGGTGGATTTTGCTACTACTGGAGAGGCTTGGCCGTGAGTCGCTCGTGCTCTCGAGAAGGAATTTCGGAAGAGGCCCGTTGATGGTTCTGCGGCGGTTTCGCAATCAGCGGAAACTCAGAAGTTGCCGTTCCGTTTATTGCGTATGAACTGTAAAGAATACCAAGCAGTGCTCCAATGTCACCTGTTGCCCTTCCTTAGCGAAGCGGAGCGAAAATTGCATTTTTAGCAACAGGACCACGTGTCTTTCGATGCTTCGCAATCTACCAAAGAATGGCCTTAACCAAATGGTGCTGAAGCGATAGATTGGCTTGTGTGTCCTCCTTACTGCAACCCTATAGGGAGCCCTTGATCAAGGCGTTAACTTTAGCAACCGGCAGTATAATACCGCGGATGAACTGAAGGCGGCGGTAGAGGCTATTTGGGTACTAAGAATAAGTGGCTTCGGGGATTCACGAACCAAGCTTATATTGCCAAACGTGGTTCAGATTATGCCGGACAGGATGTTTGAGCTAATTAGAAACTCTGGAGGCCCCACTGATTTCTAATCTCAGCTATGTTTTTGTCTTTTGTTAAGTGTGCACATACTTTTGAAACACAAAAAAAAATTTCATCCAAAATTTTTTTTCGAAAGTGAGGCGATATTATCTGCTTTGCTTCCATTGATAGGTTATCGACTACGAGAAATCGATTGAGAAGGATTTCATAGCACGAAACCTCATGGTTCCCTTTCAAACGTGAATTTTGAGGGTGTGCACATACTTTTGAAACGCACTGTATATCGTATAACTGATCAACAAAGAAGTTTAAAGGCAATGAGATGACAAAGTAGAGGTATTTTTCGAACAGACAAGTGACTCTAGAAAGAAGCAGAACCTCCCTTTCGGCAAGGATTCGAACTCGTGAACATGCGTTCGATCCCATCTATGGCAGAAAAGCGAGAACAGATGCTAATATTTGTCGATTTTGTTTGATTCTGTCTTCGTTTCTTTCTCTCAATTCTTCTCTTCTCTTACCAAACTCACAACAGCGTTTTAGTATGCGGACGCGCAGTCAGCTCGAAGGTCGCTGAATCGACACGGATCCGACTTTACTCGTCATGTCGACTGAACTACCTTCACATCGGTCGAACAGATTAATATATTCAGTAGTGGATTGACTGACTCTTTTGATATGAAGTAGGGTCTTTGTATTCCCTCTACGGTAGTCTGTTTTCGATCTTATATTGAATTTCTCAGCCTGTAAATCTTCACACTGCAGAAGATCTCTTGTGAGTCGGGCTCGAGCCCATTGGTCTGAAATTGGGCTTTCAAAACCAGCTCAGATTAAGATCATCATCCTCGTTCCCCTTTTGCTAGCTACCGTATCAAGGATTCACGGAGCCAGACAAGCCAATCCGTAGTTTTCCAAAGCCAATTTGAAATTTTCAGACGACGAGGGAGACTCTCAATATGATGTGTCAAGTTGTGGTCTGACACGTGCACCGTCCACAAGCAGCA